GGAGCTTGGCGTAATGAGATTGATGCTTCTGTTTGCTCCGCGATGAGGCGCATCCCATAGTGAGACATCGAACGGAGTGTTATGAATGAGAACAGTAAATGTACAATATACACATATGAAATCTGCAAATGAACACAATAGGGCCCACTATAACATAGTGTCAGTTGGTTAAAAGGATAAAGCAGGAACTAGTCTGCATTCCAAGGCTCTGTAAATAACTTCTTACTTGAATAATTGTTAAAAAATAAAATGTGCAAAGAAAAGAGTAGTGATAACACAGCTGCTGTTGGTTTACATCAGTATTCTGCACCGCACTGCGACTGCATTATTCACATATATTCTATCCATGATTCCTCCACCCAGTCTTATCTTCCATTTACTTACATCCACAGAGTCCTTCGACATCGTCCTCAGAGGGAACGGCTTCACTCTCGGCCGCAGCAACGAAGGCGTCCTCTGCAGCTTTATAGTCAACCAGCAAACCTTCGGTAAGTTGTGGAAATCACCAATTGGTGCATGTTGCATTCATCACATGGACAGCACAGTCTCAACCTGTAATGAGCAGGCTCTTCATGCTGTGTGATCTGATATGTTTTAATCACTATGAAAGCAAACAAAATGTGGAGTCACATAATACATTCTGTAGGTTAACACATACGAAGAATTTACTTTGGTGTAAATGGTGCATAAAAGACACAGAAAGAAGAATACATTTTTTTAAGAAAGGAGCCAAAAAATGTATTATTATAAAGACAATATATATACTCTTCTATTGAATATAGTACTTGTCAAATTCTATTTTACTGTGCTCGGTTTCTTACGTGTATATTTGTAATTATTAATCATTTATTTAATTGTATATAATATCAACACTGCTGTGAGGTCATAAGATGCAAGCAGACATTTGATGAAACGGCCCGGTGTGATCTAAATTTGGACCTTCATTTAAAAATGTCAGTTTTTTCTAAACAACAGCAGACCCCTATTGCAACACATGCAAATCATTGGTAACAAAGCGGATTGTCAAACAGCCTTTGGCCATGCTGTCTACAGCAACTCTGTTTAAGGATTCATTGCTATTTAATGTTTTGAAGCTTAAAATCATTAGCGCAGTTGGAATGTCATGCAATATGGAAAAAAAATGCTTTGTGAGGCATTTTTATATACATATTTTATGAAAAAGCACCTTTTTTTTATCAATATATTTAGCAGTTTCAAGCAATTTGGGTAACAAAAACCTATTGAAGTTTTTTTTAAATTATTATTAGTTTCTAGCAAAATAGAGTTGCAAAAGTAGATATCTGTTAGGGGTCTCGTGATCATGATGTAACAGCTTAATAAAAAGCCTCTTGGAGGTTTATTGTAAACCCAACTGGAAGTCTGCCATTTTGCCTTTACTTTGCAATTTATGGCAATTTCCGCCACTTCCAGGATCTGTGCCTTAACAAACTCCAGTCCTATGTGACATTTAGTCCAATCAATTATACATTTGGTCAGTATAATCTGAAGACCTTGGCGATGAAAGGTGATGTTTAAAGTGCCATGTAAGACCTTCTTGTATTGTCTAATTATATCTAAATATTCATGGATTTAAACACTTTCTAACCTTTTCTGAAGCCTACGACCACATTTCATAGTTTGAAGGTGAACTTAAAGAAAGCTTATTACACAAAGCAGTCTTCACAAAGAACATATTCACAATTATTGCATGGGACCATCCAAGGAGCACTTGAATGCACCATTGGTCTTACCTGAGGCCTATGCTGTTGGAGGGCCATTGTGGTTCATTTTATAATGCGTATTAACCAACATCCTATATGAGTGCAGTCAGACCCGTGGGCTGTTCAGTCTCCCTCCACATCTTCCTGTCAACAGAACAAACCCGACCAACTGCTATCTCTTAGAAGCTCCCCACCTTTATGATCAGAGCTAACGAGCGGAGGCTATGTAGGTCACTGTGCTCCTTATTTTGAGTTCGCAGTCTGTTCTGTCGAGAAATCCTTTTTCAAGAAGCAACCGGGATTTGGCACCGACAGTCAATCTCTCATTTGGCCGTGGGATCTGCGGGATCGACGACTGCCAATGACAACACTTCCCTCCTTGACGGGCTATTTTTGATTTCCATCTCAACTTGACTATAAAACACTAAAAAATAACTCTATCCGAATGAGTATGTGGCCATTAGCAGATGTCTTCCTGTTGGTCCTTTCTCAGTTTAGGCTGTCTCACATTCGCCCACTTGGGGCTATTAATTCCCTTATTGGCTTTTGCATGTGTTCAGCACAGACCTTTGCAACAGGGGGGCACCTTATAATTATGGACAGGCATCATGGCAACTATGGAACACACACAGCACATATGTGGAACAGATGCTACAGTCTTCTCCATCAGCAAACCAGCGGGAGCCCCGAGAAGACGAGCACGAAGAAATTATATCAATCATTTTAGCGACCTCCATCAGACACACACACACACACACACACACACACACACACACACACACACACACACACACACACACACACACACACACACACACACACACACACAATAATCAAATTGGTCATATGAAATAATATTTTCCTGACTGATTAAAGATTACATTTGATAAACATTGGAATACACGGAGTTCAAAACTGTATATCATAATCATTGTGTAATATTGCTGCTTATTGTTATTTATTTATATTAAAGGGATGTTGATTTATGTAAGAATCAATATTCAAATGTTATAAGATTTGGAATCAACAGACACTAAAAATCTAATTTTAATATACAACAAAAATCGTTTGTTTTGTTGAGATCTACAAATCTGTGATGCCAATATTTTATTTTGTGCCGTTCACAATATATGACCTTTTTAATATAAATAGAGCACAGTCCCATTTGAAGTGTTGAAGACAGGTCTAATGCTTTGCTCTTTCTCTGATGCAGTGCTCATTGCGAACAGATTTTGACACGTTGTCTTTTTTTCTTCTGTTGTTCCTACAGAACAAAAGCCGAGTTATGTGCGTAATGACTATCTGCTGTGTCCTGCTCCGGTGCTCTATGAAGTGGGACAGTAAGTACACACTGGGATTTCTGTTTTTGGGAAGAGCTGAAGGAGCTTGTTAGTGTTGCATATGCTGCAAATATCTTCTTTTTTTTTCTTTTCTGATTTACATTTTTTTTATATGCACCTACAGTGTATGACAGACCAAACTTTCTGTTTTTTTTCTTTTCTGTCCTTCAGACAAATATTGCTAATGAGTGAGAAAACAGTATAAACATTTTAAAGAAGCAAATTAGACGAAACAATTGATAAATGACTGGATGTAGGCACATAGTCACATAAATTAAGTTTTCCAGAATAACTTTAAAGTTAGTGTACGTGTTGTGTTTCTGTCGAATTATTTGAAGTGCTGATCTTGGCACGTGGTCAACATGAAAGGTGTGACATTCTAAAGAAAGGCATCTCACTGCCATTTATAAACTGGACCGTCAAACAACATTTTAAAATGTGAAATAAATATATACATTTCTATGTTGCCATTGAAAATGAACAAAGCTGTATTTTGTTTAGTAAAGGTCTACACTTTGTGTGATTTCTAGATGCAGCTGAAAACTTGACACCAACGGCTACTTCCTCTCTACTTTCTTCAGAACAATTTCAAAACAATTTTATTTCCTCTTTTCTGCAGGCTTGTAGATATTTTTGTGCTGCTCTTTGTTTAGTTTAGGAGCTGTTATATCTGATAGTTAAATATGACGCTTCAACGTTACTACATGCAGTCTTTTTCTTCTGTGCACATAAACAACTCCTAAATCTATATCTATAGATTAGCAGTATGTTAAAACAGTAGAAGTAGGGATGAAGACTTTGTTGTAGCGTCAAGACGCAGTAAACATTGTAGACGGGAGCCGACAGAAAAACCCCCCATACATACAACGCACAAAGATTGAAGTGAAAACAGTGTAAATATGCATTTATTCCTGGCTGCATCGCTATTGTTTGATTTTAACGTCATCTCTTATAATCCCAAACCATAACAGATGATCGCTAAGGCATTCTAGATGGAACAACAGATTTTAATGTCCTCGATGACTCCAATCCAATCAAAAATGTATGATTATGAGTGCTGCTGGCTCCTGAAGGTCTTTCAGCTCTAAAACAGATTATGTATCATATGATGAGGGCGATGCTGTAACCACTCCAAATCAACTTGAACCTCACCTCAGATAATCCTCCCATTTTAATGTAAACTGCTCATGATAACATGTTTTCCTGCCAGATGCTGACCGGCGGCACCGAAAGAGTTTGTCTTTATTAGTTTTTTGTGTTTGTTTTGGATATAACAAAACTGTCTTGCAGATGTGTACTTAGCTTATTAGCTTCAACAAGCACTTGAACACTGAAAGAGTTTAGCAAAAATCAATAATAAGTTAAGTTTAATGAATAAGACACATTAAATAGGACCCGTATAAATTACAAGAAAGAAAAGTTACTGTGCAGTGTAATAAATTAATAATGATTAATTAAAAAGGCAGCGGCAAACAAAAGTCTTGAGGCTTGATTTTAACATAAAATAGTTTTGATCCACTTTCTTGGAGAGAAGGCCACATGCATTTTTTGATTTAGATTTTCTAACATTTCAAAACAATACCTAGTTCAGACCAAGAGGTATGTCTCTCTTTTTCTTTTGAAGCGTGTCACTGCATTTTCTCTCTCCGGTGAAAAGCAATACTATATTTGACACTTTCTCCAGTTGGCAAAAAGTGAAATACATACTATCCACTGGAATGACAGTAGCAGCCACTGAACATGTCCTTCTTCTTGCTTTATCCAGAAATCAGGAAAGCAAAACAGAATCTGATATCTTTCAATCAACTCGACAAAGAAGCGTTGAAAAGAAACATAAGGGACTACATCTGAAAGCCACGGTCCTACAGCTTCTGCTGCGACCTGATAAGACCTAAGCTGATGCCAATGCTATGTGCACGCCATTTGCAAAAGGCCTGCTTAATTAACTCTTGGCTGCCGATGGTGACCCATTAAGTAGTTAGCTGGTATGGGCGGTGAGTAAACACATCTGCTGGAGGGGCTTTAAAAGGATGTGTGACAGATGTAGCCATTCCCTTTTCCACGCTCCCCATCTAAATAATTCACCATGCACTGACAATCCCCGCACCCAGGACCACCTGCATGGAACAGCGGAGCCCGGGAACTTCCGTCTCTGTCCATCTGTCTGCTTCTGCTCCATCACCGCTACCGGTGCACAGGGCGCTCCGTAAGCACGGCTCTACTCAGCCGAAGAAGAATCGTCTTTTCACTGCACATCGCTTCTCCCAGTATCCCCTCTTAAACCATGTTTTGCTACACGCGAGGCTTTGTCCTGGGGAAACATTGCTTTAACTTCTGACTTGACCTCAAAAACGTTGTCGCTGGGGAACATATATCAGATGCAGCAGTCACTCGCTCTGAGGTGCTCAGCGGCAGCTTCCCGTTCCACCGGGAACGTGAAGCAGGCGGTTCCACATTCTGCTTAGAAGTCCAGGAATCACAGCATCCTCAGTTGGTCATCGAACTATGTAGGAGCACTCACTGCGGAGGCATCATCTGTGCTGACAGCTGCGGCATCAGGCAAGAAATGCTGGCATCTGCTGAATCCCTTCCTTCCCCGCTCCCTCCCCCCTCAGTGTATCTCCATTAGGAGACCCAGCATCCCCTGCTGGGCCGTCGATCGAGAGGTTAAGTGGCTGCGCTCTTGCATCAGCATGTCCTCACCTGGTGTTTTCACAATAAAGGTGGAGAGCATAAAATAACTGAGGGGGGAGTCGACACCTGCTTTACATAGCAGGTACAGTAGCTAATGCTAATGCTCGCCAATAATTAAACAGGCTGTCCTGGGGCTGCTGCTAGCAGAGGACTTCACTCCATCTGCTCCAGTGGGGCTATGAAGATGTCCTGTTGTTTGATTGTCCTCCGTGTTGTGGGACACAGACATGTTAAATGGGAATTGATTGCCATATAATAAGATTGGAACCAGCTCTATTTGATTAAAGGATGCAAGCGGCAACGTTTAACCTCAGACTTATTATGTCTGATGATTCAAGGCTTTCTCGGTATACTGAAATCAAAAAGAGAAATAAACATTCAATTAAAAATAATTCTGCAAATTAGACTTAGGGCGGGTTGAAAACTAAAGGTTGGGTTCCTGATTGGAACCAATGTCAATTGTTCTGGTTTGCATTCACAAAGAAATAACTCCAGTTGTCCAGGAATTGTAAACAAAATCATGTAGTGGAAATGTTGTTTGACTATGGGTTATACAATAGGCTCCGCATAGGACTCAGAAGCTGCCTCGTTGAGTGTGATGAACTTACTTACCCTGTGACAAGAGCATGTGGATGAAGCAAATTTGACTTAAATAGCAACTGGTTCCTTGACTGACTGTTTAACTGGGCTCAACATGTTGGTGTAAAAAGACCCTCAGGATAAGTTTTAGTAGAAGAAAAGTCACTGGATCTAACCACCGCAGCGGACATCAAGCTTTTCAATTATTGTTTTTGGGAAATTCAAAAAATATTCCCAACAAAAGTAAAAGCTTTGTGGTAAAAAAAAAAAAGTAGTTTTTTTCGCATAACACTGATGTTGTCCTCTAAATGACCAGCTGCCTTGTCAGAAAACATCAGTCAGTTAGAGTGGATGTGTTACCATGGAACACAACTTCTCATCTGGTCCCTAGGCTTCGTGAGGTCGAGTTTCCTCCCCTCCGTCAGAACTTCTGCCACACAAACTCTTTCAGAGTTATGACTGCTGGATGCCGAGTGACAGGACCTGCATATGCTCTGCCGTGAATTATTCAGCCTCCTCAATTTTCACATCTTTAAGGGAAGTTTGAAAGTCATTAGCGTCACCATTGTCAGCCGCTCCAGCTGTATCAAATCACCAAAGCTTAGTGTCACAGCAGCCTTACTTTCTGACAGATTATTGCGAGCCCTGGGACAAAGTATTTCTAACGTGGAGCCAGAGATCTGCTGAAGGAAGAATCCTTCTGCCATTCAACTGGTGTCCCTACCACGCTTTCTACCAAGTGTACCATGACAATCTGCCCCTCATTTTCAATGTATTCAAACATAACTATAAAAACACCAAGCAGCTGAAGCTCTCTCCTCAGTGTCACACAGATTTTCACCGAAGTTAAAGATAAAGGATTCACCCAGCTCCTTTTTTAAAGTCAATCAGCTGCCTGTTTCCCTTTGTTTAAACACTTGTTGGCCCTCTTTATTTCCTGTCTGTGTGTAGCTTTCTCTATGTAACATTCACTAATTGCCCTCATCGCAGAAACAAATAACTGATAATCATCACTAGATATGCGAAGTGGAAAAAAAAGATGTAACTAACCATGTATTTTTACCAATGTATCTGTCTGGGGTTTATTTTCAAGTAAGCTATCACAATTATTTGCCATAAACTATCAGGAGCTAATGAAGAACATCCAGTTTCTTCCTTTTTGTCTGACCAAAAGTAATTCTCAATGATTAAACGGATACAATCAGAGGTGCAGGAGACATCTAATTCATGTAATTTCTTTCTTGGCGAATTCTTTTAACTATTAGATAATTATCAAAATACTCAGATTCATTTGTCGAGCAAATTACTTGCCACCTTTTTCTAATACGATGGCTCAAATGGACCACTTTAGGTAGGCATTGTCATCCAATTGCTAATCATTCTTTCGTTAATCTTCCTGGAACTTAAAGGGTGAGGATAAATAGAGCATATATGACTTATGCCTCTGTGCTGGAGCAGATTCTGCCTACTCAACAGTAACTGGCTAAATTAGCACTCAGCGTCTCAGGGAGGGAGAAAAAAGGCCTCGCCAACTATGGTTGGGTTGTGGTGCGTTAAGGATGTCCAGCGATGTCAGGCGAGGGGGGGGTTTGTTCGTCAGTGTAACTCGCTTGGGAGCCTTCCTCCTTCACACGGCGAGGTCCACACCTCCAGCTTGATTAACAACCTGCCCACCATTATCACGGATTGAGGGTGTCAGCTAAATTAGCCTCTCCCCTCACCCATTCAGCACAAGCACTTAGTTAACATGCAAGGACCTGCAGCGTTCTTCTTTAATGTACATCCACACCTCAAAAGAAAGGTAGAAAACAGGGCACTTTGAGCATATCATAGTTATATGATACTAATTGTCCTCGACTTGCTAGTTAATGCATTATTTGAGCCTGCACTGTGTATATTGTCTGTTTTAAAAAATAAAAATTAAAAAAAAAACAATCTGCATTGCTAAACCATTCCTTAAAAAAGATTAAATGCTAAAAAAATAAAAATAATATTGACCTCAACGACTACAGAATAGGTGATGGCATAATAGAGTAGAAAAGGGAAACTAGACACCAAGAAGTTGTGTTAGTGTCAGAGTTCATCCGGTTTTAAAGTTCCATGAATTGGATTTTAAATATTTATCTGTGGTAAATTAGGAAAGGTGCAAAGGAGTCACTTTAGAATATTTAGAATCCACTGCATAGTAATGGACACATGGTCAGGTTTTTCCTCTGTACTGAACCACAGGAGAATTGGAGGCCCGAGGCACGGCCTGAGGCGAAATCCAAAGCAAAGAGCTCTCTTGTTATTATTCCGCAGCACCAGTTTTTAAGCAGGCCTCCCCTGTACGCTGTA